GACCTATACAATTTTTTTTCTTTTTGATTTTTTACCTGGTTTACTGAGATGCATCAGGACTTTGTGTCATGTCTGTGATATGCTTTTTTTCTATCCTCCGATGCTGGTGATTCCATAATTTTTGCCAGGGGTTGTATTTTTTGAACCTTCACAATCCCACCAAAATGCCTTCTAAGTAAGCTGAGTTTGGGCATTTTAGGGTTGTTCTGTCTGTAACTCATAGCTTCAGCTTTATTACTGGGCCTTCTATGAAATCCTGAGAAAAGTACAGATGTTATAAATTTGTCTTTTCAGTCTGTTCTGGCTAAGACATGTGTGAAGCTGCTGTGTGAAGATCCAGCCTTTAGTGAGTACATCAAATGTATCCTGATGGATGAGAGGACGTTTCTCAACAACAATGTGGCCTACTCTTTCCTCACCTGCTTCCTGCACAAGGTACAAACTTGACAAGTGCCAGGTAAACAATGACACCCCCTGAATGTGAAACAGTTAAATAGCAATGGTTTTGTAGATCCAGGTTCTGTCCGGTCCCAGCTGTTCTAACCTGATTGGTGTCTTGGTAACCAACCTGCTGACTGAACAGAGCAACCTTCAGCCTGAGCTGGCAGTTCACCGAGTGGAGCTCAACAAGACAAGCAGCCTGCTGAATGCAGTAAGAACACAAAAACAAACACACAGGCGGTGTCTCAATTCATGGGCTGGGTCCTGGGCCATGTGGGCCACATCCTCCCTGGGCCGGGTAAGGTCCTCAAAACTGTTGTGAAAGGAGATGGTGTACCCTTCGCCTGACGTCGGCTTTACGTGAGTTTGCATGACCACGCGCTACCCCTTTACCGTAGTGATCAGTTTGATATCAGACATAAAATGCATTGTGACATGTATTTACACATCCTTTTACTGAAAGAATAACTTCACAGTTAAAACGTTACACATAAATAAATAAATGAATGAATGAATGAATGAATGAATGAATGAATGAATGAATGAATGAATGAATGAATAAATAACATTTATAATTTGGGTTTAGTTCCAGTATCTACGATCGAGTATTAGGGCCACACAACAAGATTTTGTTGCTATTATTATGCCAATAAAGTAAAATAATATTATAATACCATAATATTAAAAAAACAATATTGCACCAGTATTTATGTTGACTTAAAGAAAGCATTTGACACGATTGACCATGGCATTCTACTTGAAAAGCTAAATAAATATGGGATTAGAGGACCAGCATTACAATGGATATCTAGTTATTTGGAAAAAAGGAAACAGTTTGTACAAATACATGATGTAAGATCTGAACTCTGTGGAATTACGTGTGGAGTTCCTCAGGGTTCTGTACTTGGACCAAAATTGTTTATCTTATATGTAAATGACTTAGTCAATGTGTCAGGGCTCTTTGTGTTTTGTTTGCAGATGATACCACATTTTTTGTTTGGGTAAAGACATAGAACGAATGTTATGGTGCGTTCACACCGAACGCGATTTCAGCGTCAGGAGCAGCAGGTTTACATACAAAGTCTATGGTGAACGCGCTTCAAGCAACGTCGGGAAGTTCTGCGGCGCCTCAAGCGCGATTAGAACAGCGCGATTTGGACGATTTGGACGATCTGAGCGTCGAACGCTCAGAT